TTCACTGAGATTGTTATCGATGATATCACTCTTGAATTCTTCACTGAAGAAGGCCTTGCACCAATGCTTGGGTTCAGTTTGGAAAAGTGCTTCATAACCGTCCTTCGTCAAGTCAAGCAACTGCTGTTTGTGAATTCTAAAATCAGCCATATTAGTGCTCTTAGCTATCATCCAAAATTGCTTCTGTAGTTTCTCCTCTTTGTAGATCTTTGCCCAGTTTGCATATATGTGCCTCGCATACATCCTATGTTTAGCAAATGGCATCAACTCAGCTAGAGCAGGAAGAAGTCCCTACAAGAATTCATACATCAAGGCATTAATAAAGGCATGTGCAAGATAAAATATGTCATAAATATTGTTTGTGCAGTTGCACCAACATTACCTTTTGTTGATCGCTCATGAATGCCCCACCTCCTCCATTAGTGATCTCAAGGTCCGCCATCAAATTTTTCAGGAACCACGACCAAGTGCCCTTGCTCTCTACCTTCACAACAGCCCAAGCAATTGGAAACATTTAGTTATTGCCATCCCTCCCAATGGCAGCCAACAATTCTCCCTTGCACACGCCTTTCAAGAAACATCCATCTAACCCTATGACTCGTCTATAACTAGCAACAAATTCCCGCTTGCATGCATCAAAGCAAATATAAATTCGGTCAAAGTTAGTCTCATGGTTAGGCAGTGGCCGCTCCACAACCTCAACATCAACTCGACTACCCGGGTTTTGCAGCCTACATCTCCAGCATATTCCCAAATTTGACCATATTCTTCCTTGTACCTCCCTAGAAGTTTTTTCATCACCTTCTGCTTGGCTTTTTAGCACTGAGTGAGTGACACATTAATCCCTATCTGCTCCCTCACCAATTGCTTCAGTTGAGGACATTTCACATCAGGCATCGCTTTGATGGTATTGAAGAAGTGCTTCAACAACCAAGCACTCGTTACCCTTTTGTTGTCAAACATGATGGAATAAGTATGTTCCTCCTGGAGTGACCTAATTTGGAATAACCCGTCCCTCTTTAAACGTGCGCCATATATCTTCCACGAACAACTAGGTTGAAAACACTTTGCTCTAACATAGTCCTTTGTATTTCAAGTGAACTGAAAACTCCTCTATTCAGCTATTGAATACTTGATAATCCCTTCTTTGAACTGTTTGGCATCAGAAAATTTCATAACTACAGTCAACACAGAAGAAGAAGAACCAGGATCATAGAACGGATACTTACGTTTCCTTCTGCGCACAACGGGATCATCATCTTCATGCTGATTTTCAGAACTATCATTTTGTTCATCAGAGCCACTTTCTTCATAATCAGTATCGTTACCTTCAGTTGGAGCTCCATCAATTCTATGTCCTGGTTCAGCTTCATTCAATCCTCCAAGTGCAGCTACTGATTTTCTCTCAAATTCACTTTGATTTTGCCTTAATTGTGCAAATTTACATTTGCCACACCCTCATCATCTGATTCACTAGATGCAGCAACTTCCCACAACAATCCAGTGAACTCTTCACTCGTTGCATGGCTTGCCTCCCTCTCCTCCCTCTCTTGCCTCTCATGTCCAGCTTCATCTATAATAGAACTAGCATCAACCTGAGTACTAGGTAAAGCAGCACCATCCCCTACGTCTCCTCCCTCAGCCCCTTCATCAGATTCACCATCACTATAGGACTCAACATACACAATAGCTTCTTTTCCATGAAAATAATGGTATATGATATCCTTAACACCATTATCATCATGAAAGTTTCTAATGCCGTCCTTCAAGCTCCTTCCAGGAACACAATAATTCAAACTTCCTATTTTGCATATTAATTGTTGAACTATATCCCTCACGAGATTAATAAATGTTGGCTTGCTTCTATCGAAATAAACAGTACTTTCAAGTCCCCCAAAGTATTCCTACTCATCAGTGCCGATGACAAATTCTCCTCCATAACGAACAATGATGCCGAGAATTGTATCTTTATCCCCCATGTCGACCCTGCATTGAAGGAAAAAAGCCAAAAAAGTCAATATTTTAGCTTTCAGGACCACACCACATGGGAAAAAGAGCACAGCTTCACATGGAGATCCCCTGCATGGTCGACAAGATTGAAAAAGCCACCATCAGACCACATGGGAGACAATGACAGAGGTCCCCACATTGACCACAGTCTATAGCATATACTCAGCCCGACACCAACACAACCGAATCCACTTCAAGCCCTAATATCCGAACAACTAGCCATAATTTATGAAGTTCAAGCTTTAATTTCAGAAGTTCAAGACCTAATTTCAAGTTCGAGCCCCAATTTCCCAAGTTCGAGCCCTAATTTCCGACTTCAAACGCTAATATCCCGAAGGCAGCCCTAATCTACCAATTAATTGAGTGAAACATGGGACAATGAGGCACAATGTGTCGATCAATTCAGCAAAATAGAAATTAACAGCCCTTATTTGAAGACTGACCTTCGTAATTTGCCACAGAGACGGGACTGACGCCGATGGGACGAGTGATGCTCAGTCCACAAGATGAGGGAGCGATGCCGACCGACCACAAGGGGAAGGCAAGAGACGGTGACAGCGACGGGATGAGGGCGCCACGAGCGACGGGCGACGGCGGCGGGATGAGGGCGCCAGGAGCGATGAGCAACGGGCGACGGCGACTGGACGAGGGAGACAACAGAAGAACGGGCGTGACTCGCGATGCAATGACAACGACGACGCGATGCTAAGACCTTTGACTGAGCGACGTCGTTTTGCTCGTCCACGTGGAAATCAAATTTTGAACCGAATATCCACGTCACGCTCTTTTTTTAAATAAAAAAACGCCAGGTCAGCTTTTTGGCTAGAATTTTAGCCGGAGTCACTAAAGTGATTCATTTTTCCTCCGACTTGGCACCAAAGTTATCCAAAAAAAAGTTATGGCACCAAAGTGTCATTCATACACAACTTATGGCACTTATAGTGTCCTTTTGCCCCATTCTTGCCGTCCATCAGAAGGAAAAATAAGAAATTTTCCCAAGTGTCTCATGATTACTTGGGAGTGACATAATAAACGTCCATTTTTTCACTTCAAAATTTAATTTTTCAAGATGGTGCAGTTAATAAACACATCGAGGCACTCGATAAGAATCTAAAGATAGATCGAGCGATTTTCAATACACATCAAACAACGTCGAAATTTGAAAATATATTCTCATTTCAATATGTCATGGATAAAAGTACGATATTCCAACCATAATTAATATTTCTTATCGAGAATCTAGAAGCCATTTTCGATAAAATGTAATTTTAAAATTAGATCAACGGGGAGAAAAAATGTACCTTTCAACAGGTTTTGGGTGGCTTAAATTCTTTCTTAACGCACCAAGGCAGCTCATATTGCATCAGCGTCGACGACTCGAAAGGGATCGGAGGAGAATAAAGCCACTTCATCCGATAAACTCTCGTTCCCAATAATTAAAGTTGACAATGTCGACAACAAGTGATTAGGGGCGGCAATCAATTCCTTTTTTTATGTGTAGCTCCCTAATGTCAATGCCGACAGGATTGGGTCCACTACTTCCCAATTCCGAAATTGAATTTAGACATGTCAAAATAGGTTATAAGCTAATTTCTTAACGTATATTGATGGACTAAATTTTTATATGAGTTAATTATATTCGGTAAATGGGTCATAAGTGGGTTTAGAATGGTAAAATCCAAAACAATATGGGAGTAAATGGGTTCATAACGTACTTAGACCCAACTCACCTCGATGACTCTCTCTCGTCTCACTTGATCTCGCACTCGTTCACTCCGCACTCCCATCTCTATTTGGATATGGGTTTTCCTAGATTAGGTTAAATATGAAAGTGTTTTAGCAATATGAGTCAAGTCGGGTATGAGTCGGGTACAGGGTTCGGTCGGGTACGAGTCACTACATTTGCATTATATGAAAATAGGTCAAAACAGATTAAATTAATGAGTTAATTTGGGTTGAATCATTTTCGACTTAACTTGACCCGTTTGACAGGTCTAATTGAATTGAAGGGTAAATAAGAATGTTCATTTCCTTGATTGGACACTTGATCATCTCAAATTTATCCTCTTATTTATATATGCACATAACGTAAAAATTTATGTTATGTTTGTTTAACTGAAACTTTATGATAATGGAAAATATTTTCAATGGTAGCCATATTCAAGGAAAAGAGTTAGTTTTCATTTGTTTGGTAATTTAGAAAAAGTGATTTCCTTCTTCCGAGAAGGGGAAATTGTATTCCCCCAATCTCTTGTTGTTTTTAGTCCGTGAAAAATATTTTCCGTAGATTGATAAGTTTTACGATCATCGAAACACCGGAAAATCAGAAAGCAACGCTTGTCATTCTACGAAGTGGATGCTTTTGTGGTACTTGTCCCGGACACCACCGACCATTTCTGTGCTTGTTTGATTTGAGTTCGATATAGCAATCGCTTGAACGGTTCGATAAATCTTGCAAAATGTTACGGACATTAATAGAGAGAACCTCCTCTTGAATTGTCGTACAAGTTTGATGAAAGAGAAACTACAATCGAAGCTCTCACACATCGGTCAAAATTATCAAAGAGAAGTCCGGCATATAATTTAACTCGTCGGAAACGCATGTACAATCATTATAATATACTTCGTTGTTTCCTTTTGACCATAAGCTCCGCATGAAGTACTTCGCCGAGTAGTTTTAGTCTATTAGTACTTGTTATCATCTGAAATTATGACCATAGTCATGCCCCGAACATGCGAGCGCGACAAGATAGAGTTTGCAATCGATAAGAATTGTCGATCCAAAAGCTATGTCGTATGATATTTGTGGTTAGCATTCAAATCGCAAATAAGTTATAAGAGATTCTTCGCTTACTTATCTATGAAACGAGGGGGGAAAAGGCCAATAAGAATACTACACAAGAATACTACTAGCCTCACTTGTCCCACGATAACATTAAGATAACAATGATACTAATGATGGTGTAATAACAATAACAATAACACAATAATAATGGTAAATGCCATTTATTAGATTTCTCCAAAAGGTTGACATTATACAACAAGTGAAAAAGAGCTTCCCAACAGGAGCTCTTCAAAAAACCCAAGGGCCAACCAAAACATCATCTTTGCACATGCATCTCTCACAACCCCCACTATTGAAAATGGCAAGAAAAGAGCCCCAAAAAAAAACCATATGAACAATAAGAAAAAGAGATGAAAACAACCCTAACAGAGGGTTAAAAAAGAGTGGGTCAAAAGGACCGTAAAAAAGAGCAGATGGAAGTTTTTACCGTTTCTGCGGCGGAACAGATGATGGCACGAGACATGGTTTTGTAACTCGGAGCCCCACGGGCAGGGCTCAGCGTAGAGAGAACCACTCCACCAGCTCTCTCCCCATGCGCCTCCCCGCGGCGTCCGCGGGCTCCCCGGACGCAAGCGGCGACCGGCACAACGGGCAGCTGAAGTTCAGGTGCTGGAGCCACCCGTCGAGGCACGCCTTGTGGAAGACGTGGCGGCACCCGAGCTCCCGCACCTGCTCGCCCTCCCTCAGCACGGAGAGGCACACCACGCAGTCGGGGCGACCGGCGGGGGCGCAGCACCGGCGGGAGGAGAGCCGGTTCTGGTTGAGGTGGTCGGCGAGGGCGATGAGGCCGGCGAGGCCGGAGCCGATGAGGGCGGCGTCGACGGGGTCGGCGGGGTCGGAGGAGGGGCGGTGGGCGGATCTGGAGAGGCGGAGGGGGTGGAGGAGGGCGAGGATGAGGGAGCGGAGGTGGTGGACGCTGCGGGCGACGACGGCGAGGAGGAGGAGGGGGATGGAGTCGGAGGAGACATCGTAGAGTTGGCTCTGCAACATCGCCGGTTCGATGATTTCGACTGCGTTCCGGCAGGATGGAGGAAGGAGAGATGGAGATGGAGAGGTTTGGGTTTGGTCGTGGTCGGGGTCGGGGTCGTGGAGTGGATGGCCAAAACAGTGGGAGAGGGTCGTGCGCTGTATTATAGCAAAAGCATGTGCTGTGCGGGGCCCATGGTTCCTTCCATTTGGAAAAAGGTTTGGGTTCTTTTGATTGGAGAAAATTCCAAAAAAATCGAAAAAAAAAAATCAAAGCTGAGATGTTTTTATTTATTTATTAAATAATGGGTTTTTCTTCTTTATTTTTTTCGTTTGATAGCAACTTTGTTGATTTTCCTGTTTTTTTTCGATTGGGGGGGTGGCGGCCGGATGCATGTGGATAAAGATGCTTGTCGGAATCAAGTTGCAAAGTTTGGATTGTGATTTTGCCAATGATCTTTGAGAAAACTTATGGCCGCAACAATAATTAGGCCAAGTGGCTGAGGCTCTCGCCGAATGAGAGTAGGAGAGAGAGAGAGAGAGAGAGAGAGAGAGAGAGGAGGGGGGAAGCGAGGGCGATGTTTCAAATGCCATATCGAAAGTCATGGGTGCGCGGTTTGATCGGTCGAGCCGTGAAAACCGAGTGATTCATGAAATGAATATATGTAGTGTAGTGTTGGTGTGCTTAGATTAGATGGTCAAGCATGAGTATTGCGCATCAAGAGGTCAAAGGCTCGACTCAACCCCTTTGCAATCCTACTTTTCCATTTGGTTCAATCCGGCCGGGATTCACCAGTTTGCATGGTTTTTGACCAGTTTTGATTGCTGTTAATGTAGGGTTATCGACCGGACCAGATGCCTAATCGGTTTCGGATTGCACATTAGAAGGGTGAGAAAATGATGAGTATAGAACGTGACTATAGGCTCCCCTTTGCCTCGTGTATGACCTTTTCCTCACCATCTATTTTGAAAGCGGATGTATGATCTTTTCTACCCTATTTCCTAATTGTAAGATTTTTCAAGAAGTTATAGCTTCATTTGTTCTTTTTGAGTTTTATAAATTTTAAGATAAGTGTACTGAATGTTCTAAAATTTATCATGAAAATGCGATTAAATTCTAAAACTTACAAAAGCACAATCAAGTCAAGTTATTTTGTTAACTCTGTCCAACTTGATTAAAGAAAAATGTTGATGCGAATTTTTATTTATTTATTTCATCTCTATCATTATGGTATTAACCTTACAAAAACATGAAACATAAAACTAAAACAACGTTATTTTAGTCCAAAACCTAATTTCTTTAACCAAAGTTTAATGGAATTAGATTAAAAGATAAAAAAAAGGCTAAATTTCTTTTTTTTTAAAAAGACAATAAAAAAAAAGCAAAAGAGGCTGGCGCTCACTGCTGCTGCCCCTCCATCACCAAAATTTAAATGGAATTCTGGTTATGATATAAATTCCATACAGAAAAATATATATTTAGTATTTATATTTAGGGTTAATACCACGAAAAACCCTAAACTGGTACACTTGTGACACATTTACCCCAAACTATTTTGTTGACCATAAAAAACCCCAAACTGGTACACCTGTGACAATTTTACCCCGAACTATTTTTTTGACCATCAAAAACCCCAAACTGGTACATCTGTGACAATTTTACCCTGAACTTACCACAAAAAATCCCAAACTGGTACATATGTGATAATTTTACCCTGAATTAAAATTTTAATATTATTTTTTTATTTTTTTCGAATTTTTATTTATTTGTATTTATTTTTTTCCTTTTATTTTTTTTTTCTTTATCTTCAACCTCTGGCCGGTCGCCGGTCCGGCGACCGGCTAGAGGTGGAAGCCGGCGAGGGCCGCCCTCGCCGGCGTCGGGCTAGAGCCGTCCTCGCTAGATCCGGCGAGGGTCACCCTCGCCAGTATTGGGGGAGGGCTGCCCTCGCTTGCGTCGGGCGAGGGCCGTCCTCGCCAGATCCGGCGAGGACCGCCCTCGCCTGCGTCGGGCGGGGGCCGCCCTCGCCGGCGTCGGGCGAGGGCTGTTCTCGCCCGCCCAGGGCAAGGGCGATCCTCGCCCGACTCAGGCGAGGGCGACCCTCACCGGTATCGGGCGAGGTTGCCCTCGCCGGGATTTGCGAGGGCGACCCTCGCTGCGTCGGGCGAGTGCGTCCTCGCCCGCCCGGGCAAGGGCGACCCTCGCCCGACTCGGGCGAGGGCGACCCTCGCTGCGTCGGGCGAGGTTGCCCTCGCCGGCATCCGGCGAGGGCTGTCTCGCCCGCCCGAGCAAGGCGACCCTCGCCCGACTCGGGCGAGGCGACCCTCGCCTGCGTTGGGCGAGGGCCGCCTCGCCGGCTCGGCGAGGGCCTTCACTGGGCGAGCAAGGACGGCCCTCGCCCGAGTCGGGCGAGGGCGGCCCTCCGCCGGCGTCGGGCGAGGACCGTCCTCGCCCGGCCGGCGAGGGCCGCCTCGCTAGATCCGGCGAGGGTCGCCCTTGCCGAGTCGAGCGAGCGGGCCGCCCTTGCTGAGTCGAGCGAGGGCGGCCCTTGCCAGCGGCTGCCGAGGGCGGCCCTCGCCGACTTCCACCTCTGGCCGGTCGCCGGACCGGCGACCGGCCAGAGGTTGAAGTGAAGAAAAAAAAAATTCAAAAAAATTCAGAAAAAAAAAATAATATTAAAAATTAGTTGGGGTAAAATTGTCACATGTGTATCAGTTTGGGGTTTTTTGTGGTATGTTCGGGGTAAAATTGTCACAGGTGTACCAGTTTGGGGTTTTTTATGGTCAAAAAAATAGTTTGGGGTAAATGTGTCACAAGTGTACCAGTTTAGGGTTTTTCGTGGTATTAACCCTTATATTTATTACATATTTTAGGTATATTTAGTATAGTTTACTATTTAATAAATTTTTATTAGAGAACGATGGAAAAGGAAAAAAGAAATAAAAAAGAGACGGAAACAATAAACAAGCAAATAAAAATGAAGTAGGCGAGAGTGTTGTAAGAGATTATTACCATATCTATTTGTGCAATTTTAAGGTTCATATGCAATGGTATGCCAATCATAACAAACAATGAACACGACAATATATGAAAATATCACATTTTACTTGTGCAATTTACCAAATAATGGATAAGATATAGCAAAATCCATATATTTCATATCTTATCTTATCCAGTCATTTACTGGCTAAGAAATCAAGACGACCAAACGCAACCTTTGGATTTCTAAAATCCAAGGCATTCGGTTTACGTTTTCTAGATCGCTTTGGGGAAATGTTGGCATCGGCAAAGTTGAAGCCCAAGGCAGACCTGGGCCTTCAACTTTTTCGAAAAGCAACTTTGAGAATTTAATAAACTTTTTCTTCCAACTCCGCCTTCACTAAACTTATGATACTCCACTTTTACCCCCAATGCGATGTCGCCAACGAGTCAAATCCGATCGCCTTGCTCACCAGTGTCTGATAGCCTAGCGTCGCCGACGCAGTTTTTCTTGTTTCATTTTATTAATTTATTTAAATATTCGACTAAAGTCCTTTACGAAGAATGTAATTTTTTTTTTCAAACGCCGTATGAACCAAAGTTGATTCTCAATACAATTTTCGATTACATCTTACCAAATATTATTTGCATTTCGAAAAAATTAACCTCGATCTTCTTCATATTCCCAAAAAGCTTTCCTCGGATGCCGAACGAAACGCTGATATGGTACTCATAGTCTCATATGCCAACTAGAATGAAAACAATTTGGGGGAAAATTAAAAAAGAAAAAGAAAAGGCAAAGTTTTATGCATTACGATAAGTAATCGCAATTAGTAAACAAACGCAAGTGGACATTGGGACGGCGAGAGATCGGACAGTCGGGACAACGACCGCCTCCGAGATTGGGATTTGCCGCGATCTCCGGCACAATTATCTACACACGCATCAATTAATAGTAGTTGGAGTCATATTGCAAACTAAAAATTAATTTAAAAAAAACAAAATAAAAAAATGGTGGAATCTTCACCCTCCAAGGAAGATCAGTGGACCACCGACCCTGCTACTCATTCATTTTTCTTTTTTCTTCTTTTTAAATTACCTTACTTAATATGTAGCCCTCAAGAAAATTAGTGTAATTTTTTATTTATTTATGGTGGGTTAATATGTGCTGATTCGATGTGAAGATACAATACCACACTTCATGTACCACATCTAGAGAGCTGATATCGCCCAGCTTACTTAAGTTATAAAAGTCGAGATTGTGGGATGCGCGCTCTTGTTAAAAGTAGGTACATTTGGCGAAAAGATATATTTAATTGAAGGAATTGTCCGTCAAGGCACCGTAGAAGTGTCTGAGGGAAAAAAAAATATTATTTTTTCAGGGTGTAATTATATCAAGTATTATAATCTCGCTCATATAAATTGATTCACGCTAACCTAATCTATACAAATGACCTTTTCTACTCAATTTATTGCCCCGCAACAAATAATTATACTTTTGTTTTTCTAAATGGTGCTGCACCCAATAATTTTTTTTTTTTTTTTGGTCTGAGGTAATGCGTACCATACCCTAGAAAGACTTACATTCCTTGTTCGGTAGCATCACATAGGCATCTCTTTTTTTTGGGTCGATTATGTTTTTGGTCAACACATAAGCATATTGACTCGACCTAACCTAACTATGTACTTTTCCCACCCCCATTTTGCTATTCAAAAGAAATACGCAGCCAGATTTGATAGGTGCCAACAACCACTGCTCGGAGAGAACAATTCTCAATGAAAGAACAAAAGACAAAATGAAAAGAATTCATGAAGCCCTAGAGGGAGTAGACCTTGAGAAGAGGGCTCTCTAGAGTCTTCACTTAGATAAGGAACGAGGGTTGTGTATAGCTTATAATATAATAAAATTTGAATATGATATAAGCTCGAGAAATATTAAATTTGAAAAAGATGGCGGGACCTTAAGAATAAGAATAGAAAGTCTAGGATGTTCTCCAATGGAGACTGGACGGCAAAAGCGAAGGATAGGCTTTCCCCTCGGCCAATAAGTGGTGCGCATCCGCGACTTTCAACCGTCAATGTGTGATTTAGTCACTTGCGCACTCCGATTATACTTCTATTCTTGCCGTCAATAATTGCACAATTAACAAAAAGCAAAAGATAAGACATCATCATCATCATCTCTGTTTCCACACCCACTTGGTTAATTGGCGAAGCGGATGCGATGTTCTCTACGTCTGTCTCTCGCTTTTGATTAATCAAATGACACCCCATCTAATCTTTAGATGAGATGAAGACGACGTGCCGGGCCCCGATTGATGGAACTCTCCCTTTTGAAGGGTCGTAATTCTCGTATTGTACAGGCTTGCTTGTGCCACAGAAACATCCCACATACATATCAGTCCCTACTAAACACGTACCCTGGCGGATGGAAATAGGAGTAAAAAACAAAGTAAGACAATTGAGACGTGCGAACGGCATCATCCTCACAGGTTAAACATTCGAAATCTATTCGAAATCTCTCCAACAGTTCATGGGACGAGAAAAGAGACTTGGAGTTGACATTTTCAATATTCTAAAAAAAATCGTTTGTGTAGATTAAAACAATTAGTCGATGAAAGTTTTTTTTACTATCGATAACGATTTATACCCAAACATTTTAGTAGACATCGAGAATATTTTTAATTTATTTATTTTCGTAGCAATTATTTTTTTAGAAAATATTCTCCAAATCTTTAATTTTCTACAAAATAAACGCATCCTATAACACATTCGCACTTAACCCCGGAAATTTAAACCTCTCCTACGTTACACAAAAATCAATCTTTTTCCATTCCAAAGTCGAAGGGTACTGAACTTCCACACCTTGCACTTCTATTACCAAAAATCTTGGTTACCCTTTATTTTTCAGGGCCCGATCTTAAAGTACAAAGTCAACAGCTGACAATATTAGGATTTTGCGATCCTCAACATCTATGCCTTGATTCACATAAATATGAAAATGGCACAACCCACTGCTCAGGAGCATTCTTCATGAAATTCAGTAACATCAATCTATTCAGGTGCACCATGTGTTGAGATTAGGCAACAAGCCCGCTGATTAGTTGGCCACTTTTGGCCCTAGAACACGCGCAGAAGCAAGATTTCTCTCTAACCCGCCTTCGAGTTAGATATCTTAAGGCTACCCTTTGTGCTAGCCTCTTATATTCACCGAAAAAAAGATCGTACAACCAATATCTTTGGAATCTAACATCACAAGTCAATTGGCACGAAGAACTACTGTCACGGCGAAACAAGGAACGTCCTCCACTAGAACAAGCAACACGTCAAAAAATAAATTTGAAGCACCTCATGCACTTAACCTGGACTGCTTTTTTTATGCACAGCTACCGAGCACTCCAAAATCAGCAGAGGGGAAGCGATGGTGGAGATTGATTGCTATATCATGGATGACGCTCCTTTGGATTCACAAATACGAAAGGTGATTTACAAGTTCATAACAAGGGGGTGGCGTGCATAATAACTCAAGATGCTCTTCTTTCCCTCTTCATCAACTCCTGAATAAAATTTGAGACAGCATATATTGTTACCAAGAAATATCAAAATCTTAACTTTTCCATGAGCTCGAATTGAAATCATACCAATTTGGTGCTGGCGAGTGACGATTGATGCCTTGCTCTCTTGGTGCGTAGGCACTCCCCACACCAGCTAGAGAAATCTGTCTGATATTTCCTCAGCTCTCGAAAGACAGAACTGCTTCGAAGGTGTTTGACACAGGTCAGGCAGCTTAATTTAAAGAAGTCATCCAGCAGAAAAAGAGACCAAAAACACAGCATCACACGGTTACAAAATTCTAGCTCTGTTAAAATTAAGCTTCCCATCTTTTACCATCGCGAGGCAATATTGTACTGAAAGGATGCATTTCTTACCATCTCCAAAGCTCAAATGTCGTTAAACAATTTGCTTTAGCTAAAGATTTGTGTTAGCATATCTGTAGACAAGAAAGAGACGACGCATGAATTTATAAATGGCATTTAAACTGGGTTCAAATTTAAGAAGCTTGTTATTTGATACCCAACTCATGCTTGATTTATCTTCTCTATTATGATTGGAATTTGATTTTGGTCTTCCTCATTTTGCTTGTCCATATGTTTGAATTCGACTTAGAAGATATTTGGTAATCGACATACTCAAAAGAGACTCCATTTGATAAGTAATCCAAATTAGGCTTCTGTTGAAATTAAGATAGCTAAAATTCAACTTAACTCACCGAATATCCAGAACAAATTATAATAAATCTAATATCTGGAACATGCTATTAGACTTTTGAAACTTCAAATCCGTTGTTAAATTTTAGCTCAGGAGGTGTGTGTTAAATTAAGATTGAGCTAAAAGGGTAGTGACATTATCAGAGAAAAAGATGACCACTGTGAAAGATGGTGGCAATGCTTTGGCTGTAGATCACTTGCATATTAACACCAGTATTACCAAGAAAGGAAATCATATAAATTAATGCCATGTAAGAAGACCAAATCACGAAGTGAGGTACTTCAAGAAGGCAGATGATAGCAAACTGATGGAAGGGATGGTACCTTCTGCACCACATAATTAAGTTGGCCCGATGTCCAGATGTTGTGGCCCTAGCACCATGACGATGGCGACCACGATGCAGAACTGCATGACCAGGCAAATGGTCATAGTCAAAGCTTTCCTGCACAAGAGCATTTAACAACAGTGAAGTGAATGAGCACTTAACAGATAAAAATCTAAGAAGTACAGCGAAACAGAAACCTACACTTCATCAATGCATATTAAACAACATAGCTACACAAGAACAAAATAACAGGTTTGCATACCTCTGGCTGTGTCTCTGAGTTTACATGCTTATCACATCGAACGCCACGAAAGAACAATTCTCCACCCAAAAATTGCTCACCCAAACAAACATTTAAAGTGACTTCAGAGTCATCTACATGGAAACCTGAAAAAACAGAGTCGTTCCACTTCCTTAAGAGTTAGAAAGAAGAATCCAGAACTTCAATTTCAAGGAAGAAGGTGGAGGATAACCAACAGGTGACAAAAATGAAGAGGCAACCGAAAAAGGCAAAAAACCGCGATGCATGTAAGATAATATCAGAAAAAAAAACCAACTAATTAATAGAGAGAGAGAGAGGTAAGGCTAAAAATATGATCTTACAAAAAAAAATTATAGAATTGTCGTACAAGTCTCTATTGAGCATAAAGGGACCACCACAGCAACATCGATTATGGACATTTGAGTAAACTAAAATATATTATACGTAGAGTAGCGGGCTGCATTTGCTTTGTAAACCTGGATTAGATAAAAACTTCCGGAAAGATCAATCAAATGTTCTGCAAAGCAAATCAGCCTTGAGAAGCTATATGGAGTGAGATTTTCGCCAGCAAGTTCAGTACTTTTGACTTTTCGATGCGAAAGGATAAAGCAAATGATTTAAAGAAAATTTTCAACTACACATCATTTAGAAATCCAAATAGATAGTATCATACAATTGATAATGATTGAATTAAATGATTACCCACCTAGTTCAACATCCCTATCCATTCCATATTCAACAACAAAACCATGATGAGAATCCAGGGTTGCCCCGCCAACTTCTGGATAGAAAACTGCAAAGATATAATGAGAGTTTTCAAGTCTAGAGTACATTATGCACAGCCTCCCTCTATAAATCACAGAATGGATATTTAATTCATATTACCTCTAGCTATGGGACGAACAAATTCATCCATCATTCTGGCAAGCATGTTCTCCAAACCAAAGTCGTCAAGGACAACTCCATATTTGTTCATCGTATTTGGTCGCATGATCCTGAAATTTGTGTCATGGACCCATCTTTCAAAGTTCTCTACCTAAGCAATCAGAACCTGATAAGACAACACAGCTACTAAACTCAAGCTGAAAACAGAGTGCCACATAATGGCAAGAAAAGTGAAATGATACCTCGGACAATAACATTGCACGGGCCCGTGACTGAAGCATCTCAAATACATATATCCCCGGTGAGGGTTCAGTAATTATACTTCTAAAACTCTCTTCTGTGTTTTCCTTCAACGCTCTCAGAAACGAGGGCACAAAGAAACTTGCAGCGTGCATGGTGTAAAGCTCTCTGTGCAGAGGCTACAGAGATGAGGGAAGGTTAAGAAGCCCATAGCATCTACTTACTTGCATAAAGAGAACCATTTTGACAGAAATGGGTTAAGCATTGGTACGTTCTTATGCAAACAACAATTGAAGGCTCAAAATGTCCTTTGGAACATCACATATACATCAACCTGCCACGACAGTGTGGTGATATACGGCTCCTTCTCATAAAAAAGGAGTTGAAACCTTCACCTGCTGTCAAAGTAAAGACATTGAAATAGCTACATTTACGTGAAAGGTTACCTTATAGTTAGCTAGAATCTTCTGCCTGTATTCTCGATGCCTTAGAACCTGTCAACAATTAGTACAATCGTGAACTGCAATGACTACGTGAAAACCACAATAGTCAAGCCCGAAACTGAGACAACAAAGAAGACTGCAGAAAAACACGCAGCTCACTCTCGGGATCTGAATAAACTCTCTTCAGCCCCTCCCTCGATACGTACTCAGTTACCAAATCACAGGATAAACCGGCACATTTAGGGTCAAAGCTTCAAACAATCATACGAAATGCAGCAATATTCAACGACCACCACGTGGATCATGCATTGCATTAGCAACCTCTCGTCCCAAAGCTCATACAATCCAATGCCTAGAATCGACATTTCTACCGCCACGGGAAAGAGCACTCACACGCGTGCGTTCGCCCTCGGGGGAGTACCGGAGGAGGATGTCGCGCATGTAGTCGACCTTGGCGTCGCGGGAGAGGGACAGGAGCGTAGGAGGCAAGTAGCGCTCCAGGGAGCTGAAGAGCATGGGGCTGAAATCGAGCTGGCTCTGCAGGTCCTCGTAGCTGTCCGGCTCGTGATCGGCGGTGGGGTTCAGGCGGAGCCGGTGGGCCGCTCTGGCCGACGCCGGGGAGGCCCCGAGGAGGACGCCGTTGCCGTTGCCGTTGCCGTTGCCGTTGCTCGCGGGGCTGGCCGGTTGGAACTGCTTGAATCGATCGGCAGGGGAGGCGTCCACCGACATTGCTGGGGCCCCCCGCGTCTTCTGCGAATCGGAGTTTCCGTTAGGGTTTCAGGGGGGAATCCTGAGGAAGAAGAAGAAGAAGAAGAAGCTGGTGATTAGGAGAGAGGAGTGAGGAATGTGTGTGCGCGCCTGCGATGGCGGGACCCTTTGATGACGTGGACGGTGTAATGTAAGGTTAAATCGGGCCCACTTTTCGATCTCCCGAAAAGTGTCATGTACAATATATCATATATTATATAATATATTATATTATATAAAATAATATAATATAATATTATATAATATAATATAAGGTTAATACTACAAAAAACTTTAAACGGGTACATATGTAATAAATTTATCTTAAACTAATTTTTTGACCACAAAAAATCCTAAATTAGTACATCTGTGACAATTTTACCCTATATTAATTTCTTTTAAATTTTATCGTCAAATTTCTGAGTTGGATGACACGTGACAGCTTGACAAACGTGCCAATTTGGGGTTTTACCCTCCATTTGTCACAGGTATACCAGTTTGTGATTTTTTGTAGTATTAATTCAATTTAACAGAGAGTAAATTTGCCATAAATTTACCAGTTCGAGGTTTTTCGTGGTAAAAAAATTAGTTTGGAATAAATTTGTCATAGGTGTACCAGTTTGGGGTTTTTCGTGGTATTAACCCTATAATATATGTGATCATATATACAATATGATATCGTTAAGTAATGTGGCAGTGATTATGTGATTAATTACCATAATCCGTGTATTATGAATCTCATCCTATCTAACGCTAAGTGTATCTGTATATCTCGCTCTTAATTGATTGGTTATCCGTGACACTACTTGTGGTATATTAATCGCATAAAATACATTCTCCCCTTTCACTAATTTTGTCAATGGTAAAAGCAGTGGCCATTAAAAATGAATTTAGCAGCATTATAGTTTTCAGTAAGATAATCACTCTTATATTACATATAATTACTATTTCAAAGATTAAATTATTCTAAATTAATTTGTTCGACAAGTGTCTTGAGGACACTCATAGAGCATTTTCGAGGCACTCAATTATGTGACCCAAAAGGCCCCAACCCTCATTGGATGGAATCCCATCAGCCGCTTTTTTTTCTGAATGGATGAGTTATTAGTACAAACACTATTTACATGCAACTTAACTAAATGTATATACGGATGATGTCATGTTTATAAGTTATAACCCACCAGTAATAAACGGGAGGAGATGAAAATTAAACTGTACGAATGTGAAAAAAATCAGCATTATAATTATAAAATCTAAAATTATTTTTAGATTACATCGGTAACTTGCCGCTAGAAAAGCTAATGTGGCATCATATTAAAAAGTCACCTAGCAGCGATTTTATCCGTAAAATAATGTAATGCCGCAATGAAAATAGAGTGTAGCTTTTTCACTTGCCCTTCCTTGATTGTCAGTTGCTTCTTCATTGATACTGTGGTGATAGGGCCCGTTTGGTTCAACTATGCAAATACATTTAGGTTAAAACTTCTTGGAGAAATGTAAGTGGCGTTCGATAAACAATCATTTGTGAAGCTATTTTAACCCAAGTAGTGTTTGACATATCTTTTTTTGCCAAGAGCTTTGGGATTTTCTTTTTTATTAAAAAAAAAAGCTTATGGCGAAGGGCTACGGCCGCTAGCGAGCCAGATCTATCTACAGAGGCTGTCGCTTGAGGTCGAGCGACCCCTATCGAGGGTCGCGCGACCTAGGTGGCCGTTGCCAGTGTCATGCGACCCAAACGGCCCTTGTCAGGGTTGTACAACCTCGTCGGCTCTTCGCCGTTTTCGATTTGGTGTTGTTGGCTCTAGCCAGCCACCCTCGCGCAAAGAAGATATAGTAACAACAAGGGGCAAAATCGGAATATTAAAGAATAATTGAGGGTATATTGGGAAGGAAAAAATTGGTTTCGGCATTTGGCAAATGTTGAAAGCCCAAAGCTGCTCCGGACCAACTTTGAGCTTTGAGCATTTCCAATGCTGGCTTTCGATCGAAAGTCTATTAGGAATGCTTGCCAAACATCCCAATATTTTCCCATGAGGTTTTCAAGGCCGAAAGTCCATTGGGAATGCTGAAGCAAACGGGGTCTATGTGGTGGTCGTTATAAACTAGCGACGATGATCGTGGTGCTCGTCAAGGACGAAGGTGACTGTTGCTGCGACGAAAGTCCAACGTCAATCGTCCACATTTAGCTAGGGTTATTTTGCTTGATTTTTATCTCAAATTTCTTATTTTTAGTTTTTTTAACCAATTTTTTGAGTTACTCGACTTTTCGTGTTTGGTAATACTCCAAACATGTAAAGATATATTTAGGGGTTTCTTACCTCATATCATCACATCTTATTATGGATAATTATTGAAAAAGTTCTAATCCTATTGCGTGGATACCAATTTATTTCTAAATTTTTTAATTTGATCAATTTAGTCTTAACCTTTTGACAATTTGTTAACGTAGTCATTTCGGCTAATTTTGGCTGGAAATTGCTAATGTGGATGTTGGCGTCCTAAGTGACACAGTCAACACTAAGATAGATAAATTTTGCACATTTTCTTAAATTTTTCATAATTTTTTTATAAATTCTTTTGATTTTTTTTGTTTTTTTTTTCTATTTCTTTCTTTCTTTCCGCATTGTTCCTACTAAGTCCAATGAGGGCTTTATGGCCTTCACCCAGTGGCCGGCCAGGGTTGGTCGACGACTCTCGTGGCCCATAGTGGAAAAAAAAATTATAAAAAAAAATTTGAAAAAAATTGCAAAAGTTGTCCGCGTCAGAGCTGGCTGTGCCACGTACGATGACCGGCATCCACATCAATAATTGCCAGTTAAAGTTGGCGGGAAGGACTGTATTGGCAAATCATCAAAAGTTTTAAAACTAAATTGGCCAAATTAAAAAAATGTAGTACTAAATTGTCATCCATATAATAGATTTATGATTTTTCCGGTAATTTTTCCCATCTTATCCTAATCCCCATCCTGGCATTCAAATGCAATCTTAAGGAATGCAAATTAATAATCATATGGAAATATTCAAATAATGACCCACATTTCATCACTATTTATCCTCCTTCCATGTCCACATTTCTTCCTTCTCAAGCTTTTACCTTTAAAGTATGATTTGTCATGATTGCATTTTTAATGAAAAAAGACGATCACATTTTGATTGGAAAAATCCTTATTAGATTTCAGTGATTTTAAAGAAACTCTTAAGTTGCATGAGTAGGGAAGTTGAAACTCACAGATCACACAAAATTACATCGAAAGTAGTATGCTCACCAAAAAAAAGAAAATTATCAAAATAGTCTTAAGTCTATTTTAATTGTGCCAATTCTGTCACAAACTTTTTTTTGTGCCAATCGAGTCTTAAAGCTTTTGCTTTTGTGCCAATTTAGTCCATCTGGCCAATTTTGGCCTGCCGGCATTGACATTGACGCTAGTTGTCCTACGCGGCGTAGCCAGCGCTGACGTAGATAATTTTTAATAATATTACAATATTTTTTCGAATTTTTATTTATTTTTCCTTTTTTTTTTCTTTTCTTTCCCTTTCTTCTTTTGTCCTCTTTTCATCTTCAACCTCTAGCCAGCGAGGTCGGCCCTGCCGGCCATTGGCAAGGCTTGCCTTCACCCAACCAGTAGCATTGGCCTTGCTAGTGGCTAGGCTGGGTGAGGGCGATTTCGCTAGCAGCCGATGGGGCTGACCTCGCCGACCCCCGCGTCTAGCTAGTAGCCGGTTCTAGCAACCTGTTAGAGGTTGAAGATGAAGGAACGAAAAAAAAAAAGGGAAAAAGGAAAGAAAAAATTCGGAAAATTATTAAAATATTATTAAAAATGGTCCACATCAGTGCTAGCTACGTAGGATAGCCGGCGTCCATGTCAGTGTCGGCCGGTAAAAATTGGCTAGATGAACTGAATTGGCTCAAATGCAAAAGGTTTATAATTTAATTGAAACAATTCAAATATGTTTATGATTGTTTTGATAATTCTCCCCACTAAAAAAGGAGGGAGGACTAGGCCTGCTCGATCTAAAACTCTGAAACAAAGTATTGTTGGGCCGCATGCTCTAGAGCCTCATCAATTATCCGTCCTCATCCTTATGGAGTACGTGGTTCATCAGATTAAATGCAGAGATACTCTCATTATGCAACTTGACATAAAAGGGTAATATGGCTTGGAGTTGGTGATGAATTCTCAAACCAAGACTTGCTCTAACACCTATCATCTCTAGCCAAACATACTGTTGCAAAGACATGGAATTTAGAAGGGAGGGATTTGCCGTGGACTGATATATAAATTGATTTGGACCTGTGATATTGGCAATCATAATTTTATCGGCTGGCTTGTTTGTAGAGATAAGCTACCGACATCAGTAGTCATATCATGATGGTTGTCTTCAGTTGATACTAATTATAACTTTTGTATGACCGGTATAGAAAACAAAAATCACTTATTCTTTGAGTGCACCTAGATAAGTAATATATGGCGCAGTATTTTGTCACAAACTGGAATTAGGTGTTCTGTATGAGGTTGGAATTTAGAACTTCAACGGATGATCAAGGCCACCAAGGGCAATAGCTTGAATGCGAGACTCCTCAAACTATCTTTATTAGCAACTATGGAACACAAAACAAGTCAATTGAGCCTCATCTTCTGTTGGCTGGGATTTGGAAGGTTGTAAGAGGTAGGGTGTCACTCTACCAACATTGTAGGTCTTCTCAGGAAAATGTTTTATTGCCTACTATATGGAGGCTTCCTTTCTCCATCTTCGTGCATAATTAGTATTTGTGTAATGCCAGGGGATTCTCCTAAGCTTTGGTACCTCATTTGATTAACTGCAAAGTTTACGAATCGACTTGACAAAGGACGTCCTAGCACACAAGGCCCCCACATCATTTACTCATATTTAACTAGACATATTATTTGCATTTTGTACAAGGAAAAGAAATCATAAGTTTGGAATGACATCGGACCAGAGATAGTGTGACTATTTCAACGTAGAACAAGTGAAGTCAACAGAGAGAACGAAATGAGTAAGTTATCTAAGCACGATTAATGCTGCACGAGCAAGAGAATAGAAAAGTGTTATA